CCAGACCCTCTCTTTGGATTTACCTATTCTTGAAGTTTCATGTCAATAAAATCATATAACATGTGGCATTTTATGTCCACCTTCTTTCTCTTAGCATGATGAACGTGGTGCGTCCACAGCGCCCCATGTACTGGTGCTTCATCCCTTTCTGAGGGTGAACCATGCTGGATTCCTGTATCTACCCCTTCCTCCTCTGATGGACATTTGGACTGTGTCCATCCACCACTGGGTGGGTGTGAGAAGTGCCACTGTGAATGTGTGGGTCCATGTATTTATCTGAGTCCCTACTTTCAGGCCTTTAGGGCACACACCTAAGAATGGAATTGCTGCATCATAGGATAAACTTGTGTTTCACGTTTCAAGGAACCCCTAACCCTTAAAGGCCGTGCCCCACTGAGGGTGGAGAAGCTCATCCCTGCTTCTTCCTCCCCATCCGCTCCCACTGTAGCCAGTGCTCTCCAGCAAGCCTGTCTCATGGGCTCTCGGTAACCTTGGCGTCTCAAAGACATGCCCTTGAGAGGCCTCAGGAATCCACCCACAGAGGTCAGACTAGGCATCACTGCTGGGGGACCACACTTCCCCACAACCCCTTATGAATTCATGTCCCCCCCTCGTCACTGCACCTGGACCTTAACTAACTGCCCCACATCAACTTATTCTGAGCCTTTGCTCACACCGGGCCTCTCCTCCCCCTTTGGAATCCATAATCCCCTGAACTTGGCCGGTGCGGTTTCAGAGGACAGCTCCCTGGCATCACAAGTCTGGCCAGAATGAATCTCTCCCCTTAGCACCTTGTTCCTGCCAGCCAAATAGGCGTCGTTCCATTCTGTCTTCAACAGAATTCATTGTTGACAGTGAACTGGGAATTTTTTATGTACTTCTCTGGCAGGGTTATTTTAAGATTTTAATGACAGGGTGGATGAAGCAGCCTAGTACATTAAATTCTCCCGTTTTCCCCCATCATAATCCTCTGCCACTAAACTACGAGCTTCAGAAAGAGAGCAGTGTTTTATCTATCTTCCTTTCTCCTGTAGCTAAGCAATCCGTGCCTTGCCTGTAACAGGTGTCTGATTAACTTTTGTTGATTGAATTAGCAGGAGAAAGTGAATGAACAACCTTAACTCTTCCAATGATTTGAGAGATATTGTGTGAGGAATTCTTGTCTGGTGGGGGTAATGTTTTGTTATAAGGCTGATTCCAACTGCAGGCCACCAAACTGTCAGATGTCACTGAGGTACATTTTCTGAAGCAACTTTGTGTAATTGAAAACGTATGGGTGTGGCCTCACTTTTGCAGAATACTCAAACGTTAATGTCCAAGTTCTCCGAGACTCTTGAATTTTGAGACACATCTATAAATTGAATTGTGTGGAGTCTCAGTTCTCCTGTTTGAGATAAATAGTTTTAAGTAAGAGAAAGTGACTGCTCTTCCTATGTACTCTGTACTAGATTAACGGGCTGCCATTGGGTCAGATATGCCGGAATAGATTTTTTTAAATCCATTGAATTGTCAAGAAAAAAGTACGGTTTTTCGTTAATTTGTGTCCACACTTTTTTTAGCTTACACTTGCCCAAAAAGAAATCTTTCTGGTGAAAAGCAATCAAAGTTGTTCTGTGAACTACATCATTTTTACTCCTTAAGCCCTGTATGTACATCTAGATTAACCGGATTTGGCTGATGTAGTACAACGAGTGAAAGCAAGGTCTTTGGGGTGACACAGTCCTGGGCAATCCTATGACCAAGCCCCCTGCATCCCCTTTCTGGGCATCCTTTTCTGGCCTCAGAGATGGGGAGATGCCCTCCCTGCTGGACACCTGGGCAGATTAAGGGAGATAATACACCCTCGAAACATCTCCCCGCAGTCTCATACTGCGGCCATTTCACCCAGGCGGAAGCAGGTAGATAGGGTCTCTCTAGCACACAGCACAGCTGGTTGGAGTCCGATCCTGTACCTGGAGAGGAGACATTGTAGCAGAAACATCTGCTGTCCCCGAAGTCTTTATCTTCAGCTTCCCTGCAGGGCTTTGCCCAGTCTCCGGTGCAGACTGGAACAGACATTGTTTCTCTCCCTGTGCAACCAAGATTTGGGGCTGATCCGATACGCTAACCATGGCATTAGCTGGAACTCTGGAAGCAACAGAAATTCACTCCAGCTGGTGTAAACAAATTTTTTTAAAAATCTGGATTGCAGAAGAGTCTCTGGACTTTCTTACAAAGGCTCTGCACTCCCAGAAGGGAGCTGGGTTTGCTCCAGCAGGCTCAGCAGTACCACAGTGGAGCGCCCACAACCAAGTTATGCACTAGCCTAGCGATATCTGGAATAGGGTGACCATCCCAATTTGTCTATGACTGTCTTGGTTTTCAAATGGAATTCTCACATTCAAAGAACCTCTTCATCCCAGCAGACTAGAAAAATTGGTCGTGCTGAAGCCATGCCTTCCCCAAAATGGGTCCCCGGGTGTTCCCCTGGATGCCCAGGACCCCAGACAGCCCAGTGGCCAGTATTGCCTGTGGGAACAAGGCAGAAAGAACTCCCAGCTTCCCACATCAAGTGATTGCCACGATGTTTGCTATGAAGTTCCCATGTCTGGATCTCCTCAGCCTGCAAGGCATAGCCATGTCAATGTGGTGATTATCCACTGGCTCCAAAAGGGTTGAAACCCTCAACAGCAAACCCCCACCCCCGTTAAGGCAATCCGGCCCTGTGTGTACTAAGCAGTCATAAGGCACTAACGCTGACCAAAAACAGCGTAAGATAAAAATAAACCTTTGATATAAAATCCACTCAGTGAGAAAGGGCCTTTTCTGTGAGTCAGGGCTAAGTAACCTTGACAAATTGTAACTTTAAGTGTATAACTTTAGGCACAGTGTCGGTGTTCCTGGGAGATTTACAAGGATCAGATACCCTAGAAAATGCACTTCTGAGACAGCTGCAGTTACTAACACAGACCCTTTCCCAGCCTTTAGTCCCCCTCCTAGAGAGGGCCCCTCTTACAGGGCCTTCTGATCTCAATAAACTCTTGTCTTTTCTTTTTCTGATCTTAATAAATTCACTGGCCCTCCTATATCCATCTCCCTGGGCATTCTCCTCCCTTGTGAGAGACCTCAAGGCAGATCCATCCACTTTCTGTGTTTTCTCATCTGGAATTATCTTACCCTGGAGTGCGGTAAAGATCCAGTGAGAAAGCACGTGGATTTAAGTGTATATTCAGTGCAACAAATGCTTTGAGTAAAGTGGAGATTCAGAGCAGCAGCGCACACCTGTAATACCAACACTCTGGGGGGTTGAGGCAGGAGGATTGCAAGTTTGATCCCAGCCTGAGCAATTTAGCAACTTGGTGAGACCCTTTCTCAAAATAAAAAAATGAAAAAGGGGTTGGGGATGTAGCTCAAGACAAAGTCCATAGCTTCAATCCCCAGTAGGGAAAAATAAAAAAAAAAAAGTAAAATATTCAGCCCAGTGGTGCACACCAAGAATAGTACACATTTGGGGGGCTGAAGAACGAGGATCATAAGTTCAAAGGCAACCTGAGCTGTGTAGCAAATTCACAGCCGATGTGGACTACATGGTGAGACCCTGTCTCAAGAAAAAAAAAAAATAATAGTAACTACAAAAACAAAGGATTTGTTGTCAGAAGAACTTCTCCATGAGGTGGGAAGTGGTGGAGTGAAGTACATGGTCCACCGAGGTGAGCCTAACTCTGTGCTCCGTTCTCTTTCAGGGAGGCAGTGACTGAGGGGGTCCCTGTTCCTGACGGAGGGGTCATGGCCTTCATGTTGCTGCCCCGGCGGCTGGCTTGCGGCTCCCCGCACAGCCCCCTGCTTGTGTCTGGTAAGCCCTGGTTCTAATGGAGACACGGTCCAGACCAGAAATCCCTGGGCTGGAGAGTTGTTGGGGATAAAGGGACCTAGCAGCCAGGGCTTCTGGGTGTTACTTCCTGTCCCTCAGTAAAACCATCACCACTCACCCCTTCCCATCTCCCATCTCTGCCACCGGCTCCTGCCCGCAGGAGGACAGTTCCCTAGTGGGAAGGGAGCTGATGCAGGCAGGAGCCACTCTTCCTGCTCTGGGGCGGTGGCCTCCACATCCAGAAGGGCCTAGGCCATGGGATGGGGGGCACATAACTGGGGTGCTGCCGAGGTAAAAGAAAACCACATGCTTTGACTTATGAATTTTTTGATTTTATGATGGAGTCAAAGCACTACCTATTCAGTAGAAACTGTACTTTCAATTTTAAACCTTCATATACTTTTTGGGCTAGTATGGTATAATACTGCTATGATGCTAGACAGGGGCAGCAGTGAGACACAGTTCCTGGTGAGAAAGTGATGACCTGTTGCCATGGCAACCCCATCCTCCAGCCATTAATTCCGACGCTCTGCAGGCCCATTGTGCTGTCAGCTGTGTGTGTTAATGGAGAGTAGCATTTAGACATCACCTTCAGTACAGGGTTCAGTACATTATAGGAGACAGTCAACACTTGGTCAAAAAAATCAGCTTTGTGCTAGGAAATGTCACTCACATGCAGGCTGATTTAAGTGTTCTGAGCACATTGAATGCAGGCAAGGTATGTTATGATGGTTGGTAGTGTGTCAGTCAGCTTCACATTACTACAACAAAATACCTGAGATGGGCAACTTAAGAAGCAGAGAGAGCTTTATTCAGCTCACAGCTTTGGAGGTTCAGAGTCCAAGATGGCGGGGCAGGAACACTGACCTGACTTCTGCGAGGAGCTGTGAATGACAGGACCAAGTCAGAGCAAGTGCTCACTTCTCAAACCAGCAAGGAGAGAGGGAGGTCACTCCTCAAAGCATGGCAGATGGTAATGGCAGAAGAGAGAAGAGAGAAGGGAAGGGGAGGAGATGAGGGGAGAGGAGAGGAGTCGGGTTACACAGTCCCTTTTGAGATCCCCAGGAACCTCAGTACCTCCCATAAGACTCCATCTGAAAGGTTCCACCACCTCCCAGTGCCACCACCCTAGAGACCCAGCCTTTACCACACAGGACTTTGGGGGATGCTCATCCACATTTCAGCAGGGCAATTAGGTGGATTAAGTGTACTTTCTACCTCTAATGCTTTCACTTCATGATGGGTTTGTTGGGTTGTGACCCCCTCCTAATTGAAGGAGTGTCTGTAACTGACCTAAAGCCCACGTGTGCTTTAAAGGAATGGGTCAGGAGGCACCACACCAGAAATGTCCCACCCTGGCTCCCCTCTCCCCCGCCTCCCTGCCTAACTGGCCACCAGCATCGGCTTCTTCTTCCCGTAGCCTCTCTCAGATGCTTCCATTTTTCTCTGCCTCTCACGGGAAAGATAGCCACCAACAGGAGCCTCCCTTTGGGCATCCAGAGGTTGGCCTCCTACAGAGGCAGAAACAGCCTTGGCATTGGCTGGCAAGGAAGTAGGTTCAGAAAAACCAGTGGACCCCAGTCTCTTCCCAGTGGCCCTCGTGGTGACTCTTCCTGTCCGCCCTGTCTTCTTCTGAAGACAAGCTGTCCCCACGTCCTTGTCCTGCATGTTGCACACTGGCGTTTATATCCTGGGCAGGATGAAGAGCAGGAGTGAGGGTTTCACTGATGACAGTATTGGCAACTTTACTTTAGAATATTTTGGAAAAATGTCAGTGTTTAGAGGAGCTGTTAACATCACAATCTCAAGGATGCGTCCATCAAAACAAGAGCCTGAATTGGGTGTGGTGGCACACGCCTGTAATCCCATCACTCGGGAGGCTGAGACAGGAGGATCGCTGTGAGTCTGAGGCCAGTCTGGGCTATCTAGTGAGTTCAAAGCCAGCCTGAACTGCATCGTGAGACCCTATCTTAAGAAAAAAATAACCAAGAACCTGACTTGGCACATGGCAGCTCCTCAAGTCCAGACTTGTACTGAGATTTCTCCAGTGTTTCCCTAAATGCCTTTTTCAGCCCCAGGTTCCGGTTCACGTTCCTACGTTACATTTGGTTGTCATGTGTGTTCATCAGACACAGGCTACTTATGAAGTGAAGGAGTTTCCTTGCTCACAGTCTTAGACACTGAGAACCCAGACCAGAGGGTGTGGGCTTTAGCGAAGGCCTCGTGGCAGATGGTAATGGCAGGAGCTTGGTCTGTGCAGCTGGTCACATCTTAAGCCAGAAGCAGGGAGAGCTAGGTGGCTTCTAGCTTGTCTCAAAGTTTTCCCTTTGGCTTTTATTGGAAAGGAGAGATCCGCACCCATGAAGAGCTGTGGTTATCAAATATACATCTGATATTTTATGCAGGCCTCTTTAGAATCGATGTTGTGTGCTACCGTGGAGCACATAGGGAAGAGATAAAGTTTAGTGTAAAAAGGGCATTGGTACGTACCATGACCTTTCACTGTCTTCTAGTGGAATAAACTCTCTAGGAATTCCCTTTTCAAGATCAAACAGAAGAAAATAAAAGCTGTTTTCTTTATGCTTAAAGAGTAAAGGCTGTATTTTAAACTGGACTTCGTGTTCAGAAGATTAAATTGTATGATTAATTCAGAAGCCTTTGATATCTAAAAGAATTGCAGAAAATCAAGAAAATGAATTTCAATGTCTTCTAATACCATGCCTTTGTATTGTTTGATGAGCTCTGTGTGTGTGTGTGTGTGTGTGTGTGTGTGCTCATATTTTGTGACACTCTTTTCTTTTTTTTTTTTTTTTTCAATAGTGGGCATTGAACCCAGGGCCTCATACATGTTAAGCAAATGCTCAGCCACTGAACTATGCCCCGGCCCTTTTTAACCTCCTTCAGCCTGAGTGTCCTGTCTTATGTAATGGAGATAGACCGGCAGATAGGGAGATGATATAGGCATAGCACATATACATAAGGCTGAAATTGGATCACCCTTGTGATTTAGCTGAGGTGACTCTTGAGTCTCCAGTTGGACACAATTCTAGCAAGACGGCATCCCCAGTAAGAGGAGCAACACTTTCCAGCTCGCACACGTGTACAGTGGTGCTGTAGTTACAGAGCCACTTTGCAAAATGTTGTTGTTGGCAAACTGTTCATCAGGTGATAAACACGTCCATAATGGTCTTTGCTGAATAACATGAACATGGCCATCTTTTCCAAAATCGTAAAACAAATTAAGTTCGTGAATGGAGGCATTGCTGCAGGAGGAAGGTGAGGAGAAACCATGACCAAGGGGATCTTTTGAGTCCTCCTTATGCACGTCCTTTGGGTCTCCCCACCTGTTCTTCCCTCAGGATGAGCAAAGCAGCCTTGTGGCCTTCTCTGTTCAGCCATTCCCTGAGCTCAGACCTCTGCTGGGGTTGGTCTGGGTACTGATTCAGCCTCCATAACTTTATCACATGTGGGGAGCATGAGGAGCTCCCAACAAATGACCTCTGACCAGAACTGTAGATTAAAACAAACAAATAAAAACCCCTCTGTTAAGTAGGGACAATCTCGATTTAGAAATTTGATTATGCCCTCTCCAGTGTGGTTTGCTTTTTGTTTTTAAAATGAGTATTGCTCAGTTACACAGACTGTCCTCAAACTTGCAGTCTTACTCTCCTGCCTCAGCCTCCTGAGTAGCCAGGATTACAGGCTTGTCTCACCACACCCAGCCAGCCACCTCTTTCTCATGCATGTGCTAGATTATTAAAAAGCAACACTTGGTGGGCCCCACAGAGCTCCCTGTTCCGTCACCTGCCCCCATGTCACCTTGATACCTAAAGAAATACAGACATGTTTCTTAGTTTCAGAGCGATTATAACAAAAACATGAGCTGGGTATTGTGGTGAACATCTGTAATCCCAGCACTCTGGGAGGCTGAGGCTGGAGAACTGAAAGTTGGAGCCAGCCTGGGGAACTTACTGACTTTTTGTGACCCTGTCTCAAAATAATTTGGCAGGGGTGCTGGATAATAGCTCAGGGCAAAGACCCTTGGTTCAATCCCCAGCACTGTAAAAAACAAAATCACAAGAAACATTATTCTATAAATCAGTGGTTCTCAAATTCCATTACACATTGGGATCATGGAGTTTCTTGTTTTGTTTTTGAGGCATCTCACTATGTTGCTGAGGCTGGTCTTGAACTCTGGGCCTCAAAGTGATCTTCCTGCCTCAGCCTCCCAAGGAGCTAGGGTTACAGACATACACCACCAGGCCTGGCTTCCCTTGTAGGTGATTGGAATTGTCACAACTGGGATTATAGCTGCTGACAGGTGCACCTGACTCCTGGTGGACAGAGTCCAAAGATGCTGCTATGCGTTCTATAACAGTGCACGGGACAAAAAAGCATTATCCAGTCCAAAATGTCAGCAGTGTCATGGTTGAGAAACTCCAGACTGCGCATACATTTGGATTACATTTGGGTCAAATTGTTATAAAATTTGGATAATTTTTTAGAATTTAGTCTTTTATACGCTAATACTATAGGCCTCTTCCCAGGTCCATAAATATTCAAAATTTCCGTCTCAAAACCATGAGCACATAATATCCCAAGAAATGGTTGGCTATGTTCTGCTTTGCTTAACTTCCCTGCAGCGTTGGACATGCAGGTTGTTTCCCTTTGTTTTTATGGACGATGCTATGATGGATGTTTTTCACTTACACCTGTGCGTTGGTCCTGTTATTTTCTTAAAATGAATCCTTAAAACTGAAAGTGCTCAGTGGAAAGGACAGGGAAGCCAGCGTCAGATTTTCCTCACTCCACGGGACAGCAGCATGCCTGTTTGTCATAACGTCGTGATGCCCGCTTTCCTTATTTTGAAAATCTGCAGTGTCCCTGTAGCACCCAGATCTGTCCAGACACAGGGCTCTGGGGCCACCTGGCCAGAGCAAGGCTGAGGTCCTGCACCTCCTCTGTTAGGGACTTGGGGTACCTGTTAGGGTGGTCTCATTGTGCCTGTTCTAGGGCTTCTCATGGTCTTCATTTACTGCAGGATCCAGATACATCAGTCAAGCTGCAGCCAAAGTTGATGTTGAGTTTGACTATGACGGGCCTCTGATGAAGACAGAAGTCCCAGGTCCTAGGTCTCGGGTGAGTTGAGCGCACCTAAGCGGTTTGTTTCTGAAAGAAGAGATAAGAACCATGGAGCTTAGAGCAGCCGAGCTTAGGGACTGCTATGGTGAGCTCCTTTCCGAGGGTTTGCTACTAGAGATGTGGTATTAAAACCAACTAGGCCATTCTGCAGAAGAGGGAGGGAAGGCTTCAAGACACATTTCCTTATCTGTGGTCCAATAATAGTGTATGGTAGAGTTTCCCAGCACACATCCTCCTGCTTGCCCTGTATTTAGGGCTTACTGGGGGCTGGGGCAGCTCTGTTGGATTCACCTGCGCACCTGGGAGACAGCTGGCTATCGTCGATGCAGGTTAGGCTTGCCTCAGATCACTGCAGTGACTTGGCTCTGCTGCACTTGTCTCCTGCCCTCCAGCAGGTGGACTGGCTCGTTCTCAACACGCCGTAGGTCACGGGAGGCCTGGGCTCCACACTGGCTCCCAGCATCTCTGCCTCACTTTGCCAGCTAGTGGAAGTCCATGGCCAGGGCTGGGGCAGGACATCCTCCTACAGCAAAAGAGCAAGACACTGTACTACAGGGTCTGGATGTCAAATGCCTTCACTTTGATCTTGAAGGATAAGGAGATGAATGTAATGAAGGAGGGCATTCTGTTCCAGACAAGAGGACAGTGTAAACTTTTTAATGCAAATTATTTTGTTTTGGTTTTTGCAGATTTTTTTTCTGGTACTGGGAGTCAAACCCAAGGGTACTCTACCACTGAATTATATCCCTGGCCCTTTTTTATTTTTAAGTGACCCAGGCTGGCCTTGAAATTGGGATCCTTCTATCTCAGCTTCTTGAGTAACTGGGGTTACAGGTGTGTACCAGACATGGCTTCATTTTGCAGATTTTATTCAGTGTCTTTTTTTAAAACAAATAAACCAATAAAACAAAACAAATTATATCATGTACCTGTAGATACAAATGCTCTATGATGAATGTGATCATTATGTATATCTACAACATACCAGTAAAATCTAATTTTTTAAAAAAAGATACTCCTTTTGTCACTGTGACCAGTTTATAAATTCAGTAATCTTTATACTGATGTAAATGATGAGCTGTTTGGGATAGTATTTTTCTAACAAAAAGACTTTTTTCTTGCACATTTCTATGTAGGGATAGATCATAATTTAATAGTAGTAAAACACTGAAATAACTTTCCTTATCCTTGTCATGAATATCATTTTATATTTTTCTGTGGAAATATATAATCTTATGATACTAATTGCTAATAAAGTTTATTTTATGTTGAGTTATTTTTGGAGCTGAACTCTTTGTGATAACAAAACGAAGAGTGCCTAATTCTCAGTTTTTGTGTAGAATTGCAGTTTATATAATGTTTGGATTATAATTATAAATGATACTTTGATATGCAAATTTTCAGTTAATTATATTTTCTATTTCTAATGAGGGGTGGAAGCCTTTTTTATGAGATAGTATCTCACTGTACAATCAAGTCCAGCCTTCAACTCACTATGTAGCCTAGGCTGGCTTCAGACTCACGGTGATCCTCCTGCCTCACCCTCCTGAGTGCTGGAATTACAGGTGTGTGCCACCATACCCAGCTAGAAGCCTTTTTTTAAAAATAAAAAGTGAACCCGTATTTTTAATACACACTAGATAAATACTTTCTGCTTAATTCCTTTTATTAAGTATATAGTCAGCCAGGCATGGTGGTGCACTCCTGTAATCCTGGCACTCAGGAGGCTGAAGTAGGAATGATCACCATGAGTTCAAGGCCAACCCAGGCTATATAGCGAGTTCAAGGCCAACCTGAACTATATAATGAGACCCTGTCTCAAGAAAAAATTATACATCTATATATTTTTTATTTTATCTTCCAAGTTTCTAAATCTTCAGTCAGTCTGTTGTAATTTAACCATATGATGCACTACTTTGCTGCCAACTATTTATATTAAGTAATTCTAAAATATTTATAATATTGTTGACTAATATTAGCAAGAGAGATATTAGGATATTAGATATTAGCAAGAGAGAAAGAAAAGTGCAAAGAGTTGGGGAAGCATAAAATATCTTCAAGCTGTTTTGGCCAGGGTACGTCATAGTCATAATGGTTTTGTTCTTATTGCCTGCAGGAATTAATGAAACAGCTGAATATGATTCAGGTGAGTGGGATGAGAACACTTATTCTGTTGCTTCTTTATTACATTTTAGCTGAGGGACACTCACTGTGCTGGCCCTTTAAAAAAACATGCAGTTTGACTTTGTTCAAAATCTCTTTTGTAATTTCCCCTGTGATTTCTTCTTTGGTCTAGCACTGTCTATATGTTGTTTATTTTCCACGGTTTTGTGAATTTCCCAAGTTTCTTTCTGTAATTGCTTCTATTTTCATTTCATTGTGATGGGAAAACATTGTGTGACTTCAATCCTTTCAAATTTATTGAGCCGTTGTTTATGACCTGCCATCTGGTCCACCCTGAAGAACGGTCCATCTGTGCTTCAGAAGAGTGTGTGTTCTGCTGTTGTTGGGTGGAGTATTCTGCAGATGCTTGTTAGATAGTTGCATTGGGAGTGCTGTTCAGTCTTGTTTCCTCGCTAATCTTTGGCTTAACTATCCTGTCCGTTATTGAATGTCAGTTTTGAAGTCACAGACTACTAAGGTAGAACTTTTTCCCCCATAATTCTTGTATCTTCTTAGTGGATTATGCTTCATTATTACAGGGTGTTTCTTTTTATTTTTTTTTTGTTTTGTTTTGTTTTCTAGTTTATTCTGGTACTAGTATAAGCCTTTCTAGGTTTCCTATAGTTATTGTGTGTATCAAATATCTTTTTCTATCCTCTTTCTTTCTTCCATTCTTCTCTTATTTCTTTTTTTGTCTTCTTCCCCAATCCCAGGCCAGACTCAAATCCTCAGCCTCCCAGAGTGCTGAGATTACAGGTGTCCACTACCACACTGGCTTTTTTCCATCGCTTTACTTTCAACCTATTTGTATTCTTGAATCTAATGTGGTTTGTCTCCCGATAAATACCATGTAGTTGGTTCTTTTTATTCAATCTGACAATCTTTGGCTTTTTATTGGGATAATTGGTTTAGCTAATGCTATCATTAATATGATTGAATTTATGTCTACAGTTTTATTTTTTGTTCTTCCTGTCATATCTTTTTTGTGCCTCTATTTTGGGTTTGTGTGTTTAGATTTTTGTGCAGTAAGTGAATATTTTCTACTGTAGCATCTTCATTTCTTTAATAATTACTATTTTTCTGGTTTTCTTAGCATCTGCTCAAAGACTTCCTGCATATATTTTAACTCACCAGAATCTACTTAGACTTATATCTCAAGCTTTGCAATATATGAAGCATATACAGAAAAGTTTACCAAACTGTGGTTCATTACCATAGCTTAATGAGCTGCTATAAAGCGAGCTACTCATGGAGTTACGCCTAGAGCAAGAACTATCATGTTACTGGCACCCGCGGTGACCACCACAGGTCCACAGAAAGGGCAGGACATGGTTTACTCCACTGACTGAAGCTTATTCCTAATTGACTGAGAAGCCAGGGAGTTGTGGTGAACCTAAGTCAGTCTTTCTTTCCCTAAGAATGCAGAGGCTGTACATTTTTTCTGCAACTACGAAGAGAGCCGAGGCAACTACCTGGTCGATGTGGATGGTAACCGCATGCTGGATCTCTACTCCCAGATCTCCTCTGTCCCCATAGGTAAGAGCTGGAAAGCTGGCTCCAGAATCATTCTCCCGCCCCCTCTCTCTCCCTTTCTGTCTCTCTCTTTCTCTTTTTCTCTCAGTTGTCAGGCTTTAAACCCCCTTAGAAATAGTACATCCTTATACGTTGTCAGACACCTTCCTCAAGGCCACAAGAAAGAGTAATGTGGTATAGAACAGGGGATCCCCAAGCCCTGGGCCCTGGACCACACAGTAGGAGTTGCACAAAGCTTTGTCTGTGTTTACAGCTATTCCCCATCACTCATTGTACTGCCTGAGTCCACCTCCTATCAGATCAGCAGTAGCATGAGATTCTCACAAGAACATGAACCCGACTGTGAACTGTACACACGAGGGCTCTCTTGTGTACTCCTTATGAGAAATAATGCTAAAACTGTCCACCCCCACCACTTCTCCCATCTGTGGAAAAATTGTCGTCTATGAAACTGGTCCCTGGTGCCAAAAAGGCTAGAGGGGATTATTAGGCACAGGACACATCTCTCATTACTCCTCCCCAAAACCTCACAGAGTGGGTATATGTGTGTGTAAGTTGCAGGTAGGTAGAGAAAGCCTAGAGAGGTTAAGTAGCAGGTAGAGGAACCACAGCTCGTTTTCAACCCAGGTCTATGTGACCACAGTGTGCGCAATGTAGGGTATATGGATGAGTTCCCAAGAAGAGCCTGTAGCCAGAATTCTTGTCCAAGTTGTCCATTGCAGAAGAGCACTCGGGAGAAAGGAGAGAAGAGAAAGGGAAGGGTGACAGGCAGAAGGAATGTGGGCTCTGCTGGAGACTGTCCCCAGCTTGACCCCACAGGGGACTCAAGAACTGAACTGTACCGAGGCACCGTGGCATGACTGTGCTAGCGCAGCATCCCCCATCAGCTGCCAGAGGGGAGGGCCTGGGTCATTTCTGGGCAAAATGGCTTCCACGCAGCAAGAGCAATTTTCTAGAAGAGGAGGCAGCTGGAGCCGTTATCGGCCAACACACACAGCAGCTGGGAGATGGTGACCTCCCCAGGAGAAGCGACCTGACCTCAGTGGTCTGCCAGCAGCATCTGCCTCCTCGGCTCACCTCCAAGCCACACAAAGCGACGCAGATGACAGGAGAGACAGGGCTAATCTGGAAACGCGGGAGCTGCTGTTTGCTGCTTGGGTGGCGAATGCTCCTCCGGTTGGTTGATAGACCACTGGCTGTGTTTGCTGGCTTTGGGCTGTGTGTGACGAAGCAGGTCCTTTTGCAGATGAGGCTGCTTGTCTGCCACAGAGGTGATGGGGTGACCTGCACTCTCCATCAGCAGCAGCACCCTTTGGCCTCTCAGCAGTGTGGGGCAACTCCCCTGAGACCCAGCCTCTGAGGTCCCTCCTTCTCTGCCTGCCAGCCCATTTCGTCAGAGCTATTTATTCCCCAGTAAGATGTGATTAGAGACGAAGCAGGTGACTCATTCGCTAGGAAGGCCCACCATTCAGAGATGCCTTGGTCTTTGCAGGCATTTTAGAATCAAAGAGTTAGAAAACCTCATCTCCCCTACATGCTGGAGTGGAAGGGATCGATTCTCAAGTTGTCCTGGGTTCAAATCCTGACTCCATCTCTTAGTCATGGCACTGGGACCAAACCCAAGGCTCCTTTTTTTTTTTTTTTTTTTTTTAAATAAAAGGAGGAAAACATTAACAGACAGACAGCATTTTACAAAATAGCAAAGGAACAGTACAAACAATACGGAGTTACAAACAAAGTGGTAGGAAATTAACAGTGCTTGTTGTATTACGTATTGATATCTTCAAAATGGTTTCTCATGAAAACAGATAGAGACATGCAATATTGATCAACCAAGGACTCACTGACAGTTTCTTTCAGCAAAGAAATAGAAGACAGTAGAACAACTATGTTAACTATCCTGTATATACATACATATAAAATTTCTCCTTCTTTCCCTTCTCTTTTCCCACATCCCAATTGCCCTTTACC